TTCGGCCCAGCCATACGGCCCAGCCATACAGCCACCACCATCCGGCCACTGCTATCTGGCCACCACCCTTTGGCCACCGCTATCCGGCCACCGTCAGCTGGCCACTGTCATTCGGCCACCGCCATCCGGCCACCGCCATTTGGCCGCCGCCACCAGGCCATTGCCATCAGGCCACTGCCAACCGGCCACTACCATCTGGTCACTACCATCCGGCTGTTCCATTCCGTCGTCGTGACAGTCAACGTCGCCTCGCACACCAGTCCCCATCGATCCGCCCAATAAATATTGTGAAGGTAAATTCATATACTGTGTTAGTTAGGAAATCTCAGTACCGAAAATTCCCCCACACCTACCAATCCTGAGACCCGGGAGCAAAAGAGGCCTTTGGTACCCACCCCAGTGGCTGCCGACAGGCTTAGACCAGCAGCCAGGGGTTTAGGCACGTCCCCTTCTGGGACGGCGCAGTATCTCCCGGGGACCAACAAAAAGAGTTTCAGGATGTTCGTCCTTACTTCAACAGACGATAGTCGCTTATCCAAGTCGATGGTTGTGTTTTTACCACGGCAGAGTTGTCGTGTCAAACGAGTCCCAAAAGCAGATCTTAAAGCAGTTTCATCGTGGAGACCAAAAACCAAACTGTACCAGAAACCATCGTCTCGAATAATTGTACCCATTTGATCAGCTTCACGACACTGTGAGACACTTGGTATACGTCACGTTCGAGCTGCACCGTTCCATCCACAATCAAACGGATTGGTAGAGCGGTTTGTGGATACCCTGAAGCGGACATTGAAGAAAATTCAATCGGAGGGAGAAAAACTATAGGACGTTGTTCAGACGTTCCTACAAGTCTATCGGCCCACATCAACCGTGGATCTAGGTGACAAGTTTTCCGCAGAAGTAATGTTTGGACGACAGCTGCTAACGGTTTCATCACTATTGCTGCCACCCTTCGCATTCGAAGGTAGACGAGCAGAATGAATGGTTCAACAAGAAGCACGGAGCAGTTTACAATTTACTCCCGGAGAAACAGTTTATGCTCAGTTTCATCATCTTGGCAGTGGCTTTTCATGTTCCTGGTTCAAATCCACTATCGATATTCTTAGACGAATTTGACCTAGACGAACCAGTGCAAGCAGCTGAACCTGAAGATGAGGAATTCTCCACGGACGACCAGACCAGTGAAGATAAAGAAAACCCTCCTCAACCAGAGCCGGTTCCAGTTAGACCTGTGCGCCGATCAAAATATTTTCGGCGGCGGCGTGATGTGTTGTTTTCTGCCGGCGAAAGCGGCGTGGCGGCGTCACGCCGTTTGCTTTCGGCGGCGGCGGCGTTGGTTGGCATGAGTTTATTTTTAATGATTTAGAAAGCGAATCAAAACAAACATAGTGTAGTACTAGAATTTAGACTAGAATGGGGTACCCTTATAGATTTACTTGGGATCAATAGGTTAGTCAAGAAGTGAGCCAATTTAAAATCGTTAGTTTCCACCGGTTGCTAGTAAGCAGACTAAAACCACAATCAGTTTTCCTCGTCTTCAAGAAGTTTTCCTCGGAAAAGCGTCAAAAAATTTTCTCATTATATGAGTGAACTACGTTTTCGCGAATTTGAGTAACCTGAACTCAAATATGAGTAACTCTTGCTCAATTTTGAGTGTTTTCATTGGCCGTGCATGCGGTATGTCAAGTGCTTGTTAAAATTGCAGGGGGCAAAGTGTTACAACCCTATTATTAAGTATTAGAAAAGTACGTTATGTAGGGGTGGATAGTTTATAAAAACAATCTGTTGCATTACGTAACAGCCACTGCTTACTGCAAAACTCTATTTTTGCAAATGCTGTAATTGTCATGAATGAAAATTGTTTTATCCACATTGTTATAGTCGATGCCTGACCGACGTGCAGATACGGTCAGCTCAGTTAGGTTAGAAACTCGTTCACTTGGCGTGCTGGTGGTTGGCACACACAATACCTTGCGAACCAAGGCTGCCAACCAAGGATACTTACTTAAGGGTCATGTAAACCACTGGAGGTGCAAAGGGCCAACGCGAAAAACTTCCATCCTGGGCGGCTGTTCGCTTTTGTCTTGACCTGGGCCCAGGTCAGATTCCTATCAACTTGCTTTATTTCCTTGTTAAGGCTCCGCCTCCATGAGCCCCTGGGTCTGCCTCTGCTGCGATGTCCTGCCGGATTCCAAACCAGCGCTTGTCTTCAGATTTCGTTTCCGCCCCGTCGAAGTGTGTGGCCTCCACTTTTGCTCTCGAATTTAGATTGCTATCGGCTTCAGATGACATCGAGCATGGAACTCGACATTCGAGTGAGTTGTCAGTTGTGAGGCCACCAGACACGAATTATATACCGCAGACATCGGTTAATGCAGACATGTAGCTTCTGACTGTTCTCCGGTGATACACACCACGTCTCGCTGGCGTATAACAACACAGATTTCACGTTCGAGTTGAAAAATCGGATTTTGGTGCGTTGATTTATCTGGTTTGATCTCCATACGTTTCGTAAACTCGCAAAGGAAACCCTAGCTTTCTTGATTCGTGCATCTATGTCGCTCTTGGTCCCGCCGTCCGACGCTATTTGGCTGCCAAGATATTGGAAACTTTCGACCTTCTCCACTGCTTGCACCGCTACCGTAAAGTTGGAAGGGTTGTCCGTGTTGACATCCAACGATTTGGTCTTGTTGACGTTAATGATGAGACCCGCCGCAGAGGAGCGTTCGGCTAGGTCATTGAGCTTACTCTGCATATCAGAGCGCCGTTGTGCTAGTAGAGCAATATCATCAGCCAAATCGAAGTCGTTGAGATGCTCCATGATGATAGGCTGCCAAAGAAGCCCACGGTTCGGTACACGGTCAATTGCACCTACCATGATCTCTTCGATTACGATGAGAAACAGTAGCGGTGATAGTATACATCCTTGTCTCACACCAGCGACTACCCGGATAGGGTCAGACAAGGCTCTGTTATGCAGAACTCTGCATGTGAAAGCCTGATACTGCGCTTCGATGAGGTTGACGATTTTATCCGGGACTCCCTTGCGTCTCAGGGCGCCCCACAGATTCTCGTGATTGAGTCGGTCGAAAGCTTTTTCGTAGTCAATGAATACCAAATAAAGGGACTTACTCCAGGATGATGCGGAGCGTGACAATATGGTCCACACAAGATCTTCCGGAACAGAATCATGTCTGCTGCCGCCAGAGAGTCGCGTCGATCTTTTCCAATATCCGATTCAGGATAACTTTGCACTGAAGTTTGAGAACAATACACAGTAACATGATGCCTCACCAATTGTCGCACACAGTCAGATCCCCCTTCTTTGAGATCTTCACTAAGACACCCTGCATCCAGTCGACCGGAAAAGTCGCGGTGTCCCAGATATTACAGAATAGTTTATGCAACATTTGAGCGGATAGCATGGAGTCAGCTTTGAGCATCTTTGCTGCTATTTTGAATTTATGAGAATGAGTAGAAATAACTCATCAACAATTACCTAGCCGTTTTAGTCAAAATTCAGTTCTGGCTATGTTACTCAATTTAAAGTAGATCTGGTTTCAATTAAATTGGGTGGGTTTTCACTCAATTTTTAGTAGCCACGAACGAGTATGCATACAAGTTCTAAATCAACGCGTTCAAGATGCATTTTACTGAAAAGATGTTACGGAATTTTCATCGGCGTGACATATATTTATTCGGCGGCGTGAACAATTTTACTGCGGCGGCGCGCCGGCTCAATTTCATCGGCGACGGTGGCGGCGTGGCGCGGCGGCGCACAGGTCTAGTTCCAGTACCAACTACTGTTCAAGAACGACGACAAATACAGCTGCCATCTAGAATCCAGTCCTACTGTATGACTTAAGGGGCGAGATGTTAGATCGCAGAAATCAATGTATCAAAACAACCATTGACTGCGTGGAACCAAATAGTTTTTATTCATTCTAAGTGTAACTGTTTACCAAACTTGAAGCAATCTTAAATTAAGAAGATTAAGCAAGACACAATTTTACTTATTTTCGGAAGTTTCTTCATTTAAAAAACATTAGTCTGTATATACAAATATCTGTATCAAAATAATGAGAAAAATCTGTATGATTACAGATAAAGCTGTATTTGTGGCATCACTGGTACCAAGGATATTTTACAGTGCCAGGTACTGTATTTTGTAATCTGTGAAAGGGATTTCTAGGATTGTTGACTACCCTGTCCTCTGATAAGAACTAACGTAAAGCATTTTATGCGTAATTTCCGACAGATTTCGCCACAAACAACAGTAGTCACCTATGATGGCCAAAAAGTGCAGAATCTATTTACTTCGGGTCATTGTATATCATTTTGTCCCGTACTTTCTTCAGTGTAAGTACTTACTGCATTTTTTCCAACAAACTGTTCATCAACTCTAAGTTCATTGCACCGTTTATTATTCTGACGTGTACAATCTGCGATGAATCACAATAACGCACAATTAATAAGATCATCCATGTTCAATGGACAATGTAATCCCTTTTCACGCTGCTCCATTCTTCCCTTGCTTCGGAGTAATCAAGTATTCACACACAAAGTGCCTACAAATTAATCTATTTTCGAGCTGCAGTAATCCCCGACATAAATCATCGCATCAACACTTGGTCTCCTGCTGCATCCTCCCAGTGCAGCTGTTTCTCATCGCGATCGACGTCACGCGACTTGAATCTCCATCCCGTCACCACGGGTCTCGCTGTCGTGCAACACTCTCTCTCTTGCTCTCTCCCAGTCTCAATCCAAACAACGCGCTCCTAGTGGAGGCCCCAACTAACTCCAACAATCCAACCCACGGCACAGGCAGCCACCCTTCGAGTCAGTCTCTTTGGTGCAACCCGTGAGTGAAGATCGGAATCGACGAAATACGACCAACCAACAAAAAAATTAAACGAAAGAAGTTAAGAATAAGGAGATTTTTGCAGATATAACCACCCTCTGCCTGCTTGAGAACCCTGCCTGAGAGCCTCGCCCCCTCTGCCCGCCCACCCGCAAGCGTGTTAATTTATGCTCAAGTTGTGATCTTTGTGTGCGCGTGGAATTGTGCCTGCTGGAGCCGAAGATCATTCATACACGTTCGCAGTCGGTTCAAGAAGCGAAATTCTAGCGAATCAAACCCGACCAGGAATCGTCGTGATCGCCGTCGTGCGTGCGTGAAAGTGTGAAAAAAGTTGCCCTCTGCCCGCGGTGTGTGAGTTCGAGTTTACACAATTTTTGCGCGATTATTTTTGGATTCTAACATCATCACCATCGTCATCGTCATCGTCATCTTCGACGCCGCTTCTTGTTGCCGCCCGTCGACGCAGTGAAATTGTGAAGCCGTGAAAATCCGTGTGGAAGCAGAAACTCGCCAGTGGCCGCCGGTTCGGGCTAGTCGTGTCGAAACAACGAGATTGAGTTTTTCCGCTGCTTTCGAGCGGTGAAGAATGAATTCGTGAAAAAAATTGTGTGTTTGGAAAATTGTGTGCGCGCGATCGATCAAACGTTCCGGCGAGAGGAAGATTCAGCTTCCGAATTCTGTGCGTGAGTGCATTCCGTTCCGTTGGCTGGAGTGATCAGTGTGTGAAAATTTTCCGAAATCGAGAAAGTGTGTAAGTTCTGTTGTCCAAGAAGTGGTTGAAGCAGAAGATGGAACCCACCGGGAACAATGGGCTTTCCCCGCTGGACGAGCTCCAGCGGCAGTTGAACGAAGATCTGGCGCAGGTGGTGGCACCGACGCCGCCACCTTTGGCATCGGCGCCCCTGGTGGCGACCACCATTAGTACTGTTGTGGTCCAGGGTGGCCCTCTGCAGCTGGTAATTGCACTGCTCAAGGTAAGTGGCGTCCCCTTTGAAGGGCATAATTGCACCAACGATGATGATGATGATTACCGCAACAACGACGGACGCGCTTCCCACGGTAGATTTGACCCTAATAACCAGCGCCCCTACTGCGGGCCGATACTGACCTACTGCGATGGGGGGGAATCGGAATAGAAATCAAAAGTTAGAACCTGCAATGTAGTGAAAGTTAAGCAGTAGGCCACCCAGATCATGATAGCGAGAACGGAAAACAGAGAAGCTGAGTAGGCGCGAATCGAGAAGCGTGTGGTAATGAGGGATAAGAAGAGTTGAAAGAGAGATTGGAGGTCAATCGAACGGAGGAGATAAATGCATCACGTTTTGTTTGTTGGGTTCGACGATGGGCAAGATGAAGCATGGTGGGAAAGAGTCGGGTGGGTTTGCGGTCAAAACTGCGGTCATGTTCATTTCAACCTTACATTTTATCAATTCATGGGTTATTGACGATCAAATCGGTTATTTTTTTCAGAGAACACAGGGTCCTAGGCATTTCGTTAAGGAAAAGTTAATAACCCGAAAATATTTATTTTTCAAAAATATTTAGAATAAGTATTAAAAATAAAAAAACAAATCTTTTTTTTTATAGATTCATGTTGAAAATTACATGCAAAAATTTATATCTCATAATGAAAAAAAAATTGGACCCTCAGCAAAATCGAAAGGTCGATGTTGAGTCCATCTTTATGCCATGAAGACTTACAACAAATGTCTTTTTTAAATTATAAAAGAAGTGATTTTTTTTCTTTTTGATATAATATTTTTGGAAATCAAGGGAAGCTTATCTCAACAAAAAAGAATTCGATTTGAATTTTCTAAAAATATTCGAAAAAGATATGGACAAACTGCAAAAGTCGACCTTTGTCATTTTTTTTTTCATATTTGCACTCTGTGAAACTTGGATTTCTTCGGAAGATGAACTAAAATTCCACGATTTTAACATTATCCGCCTGGACCGAGATGATTCATATGGTGGCGTACTTTTGCGGATCAAAAAGTGCTAGTCCTTCTATGTGGAAATTCAAACATTACCGATTTTTGGCTCCGCAAAGTGTCACACACGACTGAGCCTAGTAAATAAACGAACTAGTCAAAAACCAACTTTTTTTTCAGGAAGAGATAGAGATAATATGTTTACATTACAAGTTTTATCGAAGTTTTAATGCATTCTACAAATCTAAATCATGGTCTACAGAACCCTTATTAACCACAAATTGTTGCTTGGGGTGCAATGTTAATTTTCCAAGAATCTAAGAAACAGACTGAATTTTGTTCTGGATTTGATCAAATGAGCGTGATCGGTCGTGAATAAGAAGTCCCACTGTGCATTGCAGAGCGCTGTATAGGCATGCTGCATCGACTTGATAGGATGCCGCTTGTTGGAGGGTTCAGCATCAGAGGCTCGATACAACAACGGAGCGGAGCGGTGATCAATCATCGACTTCGGTGCGGTGATGCCCGCTGGGAACTTGAACCTGTTTGCTGCAACGATTGTGGTTTGGGGTTTCAATGGATTGCATAAACAGCTTCGATGTAGCGAGTAGCTCATTTTATGCAAATTTCAACTTTTGAACTGCGATCAACGGGCAACTCCCTTCCTCGCCAAGCTGATGCAAAATGTTTCTTTGATGCTGAGCATGGATTTCCACACCGACTGCTGCGATTTCATATTGGGTATCTTATTTTCCATTCAGCACCCGTTGAAAATGCGCAGACGACTGAATGAATTATACTAAACAGATGCAGTTGAAATATATGACTCCTACAAAGAGAGAGGGCACACACACACACACAAACTCAAAACAAATGTGGAAGAAAATCTATATTTCAAGTGGTGAGCACACTCGAATGCTCGCCTTCCTGTATTTATTTTTTCGCGTTGGGATTGTGGAATTGTGGAATTTAATGAGGGCGTGGTAGAACAAAAAACTGTCCTTTCGTGTTTCAATTTTCCTCACATCTGACTTCGAATTTTTCTCATTTAAAATTATCACTGCTGCACCTTGGCCCCGACAAATTAACGTGACAATAAATTTTACCGACTTTCCGAACTGAAATGGAAGATCGAGATTATCTGTGGGCACTTCTCTCTTTGCTTGCGATAATCCGCACTGTCGCCATTCAAACCCATGCCTCGAAGATCCACTGCGTTCAGACTGAAGGAAGTGGCTCCTCTCGGAATCGCCCAGACACAAATTGCTGCCCATTAATATCGATCGGATCGACAATTAAGTTTCCCTTTTAGCCCGGAGATGTTCGGTTTGCAGTGCTTCTTTTCAACGGTAGCTTCCCAAGTACCAAAAAATTCCAGCCATACAAAGGTTATATAAACTGTTAAAGAACATGTGTGTTGCTTGGGTTTCAGTGATACAATATCGAAGAAGTGGATACACGAGGGGCACTGGTTTTGCGTGATGGTCATTTTTTGGGAAGTATTGTGGATTGCCCACCAAATTGTTCGAAATACATGCGCTTTTGCATTTATCAAAAAGCGTGAAAAAAGTGATAACCTTGTTGGGGTTCAAAAATGCGTATTATTTTTCATCGTTACATTAGTAGACATTATGCTTATTGAAAGACCATTGTTTCAGTCTGCCTTCTTACCAGCTCGAACTTTTCTTCGTACACGACCCATCATCTTTTGCACGAGCCCTGTTCCCACTTGTTTGGCTGCCAAATTGCAGTTCCGCTAAAAATCCTTCAGGTCAGTTCCATCCATTTTCTTCAGTATGTGCTTCACAATTTACCAGTATTCCTCAATTGGCCTTAGTTCCGGAGTATTAGCCTAATTCATTTACTCGGGAACCACTGTGGTGCCATTTTCGCTGTACCACTGTTGGGTGGAATTTGAATCGTGACAATTTGCCAAGTCCGGCCAGAATAGGCAAACCAACTCATTCTGCTACAGAAAATCCAAGTAACAATTCAGCAATCATTTGGCATCCACTCTTATTAATGATGGTTTTATAATGGCAATGAACAATCCATTTGATTTAAAAAGTGTAAAACATTGCTGTTAAGTAATTCAGCTTTTTGTTGTTTCAATAACCTTTTATAGTCTGGCGAGAAAGTCGACGATTGCCTAGTTTTAAACATAAATTTAAAGCAGTTTACGATCCCTCTATAAAACTGTTCTGTAATTCAATCATAAACTACATCAGCAATTGTTTATTAATGTCTTGATCAAATACTCTATAATCTATAGTGTTCTATCATAATAAAAGCAACCATAAAATCATTAGGTTTTAAATGAGAGCAGAAGGCATATTTTAATGCTATTCAGTCTTTTTAAAATTCACAATTACTCTGAATACAAATTGAACTTAAAGGGTATGGATCCTCATAGTGAATAAAACCAAAATTTGTAACAAATACAACATAACATAACACAACATATAATACAACAGTATCGCACACTTTCCGAGTAACTGCTTCCAATCCATTGCTTGGAAGAACGCTGGATCGTACAGCGCAACTATAGAAAGATAAGCAAAGGTTGACGTTTAAATTTTTGCCAGCAGCTTTGCTTCCATAAATGTTAGCATAAATCTGAACGGGTCAGGATCAAGCAAAATGGCTTTAGATAAATACAATTCAGATTGCAAGTTTTCTTCATAAAAGCCTTTTTTAAACCATTTGAATTTGTTGGGGATTTATTGAAAGCAAAACAACTTTTCCACAAACGGTCCATGAAAATCAACTTTTAAGCCTCCGCCATATTTCAATTATTTTGTTGGTTTTTCACAATCTTCGTTTTTCAAACTACATTTCCTTGGATATAACTTTATTTTGGTCAATAAGCAAACATTTAAAATGCGAAAATCTTTCAAAAAATCTTAGCTAAGCTTAATGATCGATCTTAAGAATAATTTTGTTTTTTTTTCATAAATTTAATATAATTAGTCAAATCGACGTTTTCCGAGGGCGGACTAATTTTTTTTCGGTGTTATCACGTACATTTCACATAAGATTCAATATGACTCCTAAGACTAGACCACTTTATGAGAACTGTTTAAATTATTTTGGTAAATCAACTGGATTTTTATACGACTTATTTTGATTAGATCGGATGGTAATTATGAATTCTTTTCTGTCTTGATTGATGCTTGTCTAGTGGATTTAGCAAGCAGCTAGGGAAAACGGCTCAAGAAAGGGTTTTATTGTTACCAAATAGCTTTTATTGTAGCTGAAATATGGTTTTCAAATCGTTCTCAGTGCGTTCGTCACATAACCGTCTTGCAGTAAATCAATTTTGAAGAGCTCCGAGAATACATCTTTCAGAACCTTCTCCAGGGTGGGCCAACTAGACAGATTCTAGTCTTAATGAGGTTTTGGTGCATGCATCAATGGCACAATAGCCTTGACCGGGGTTTTATGAATGTTGTTAAGGTTAATAGTCTTAAAGTAAACATATATGAGTTTCATAAGCTCCAGATCGTGTCTAGCCAAAATATCCCGAACTGGAACATAAGGTTGTCTACCTCGAGCCCTAAGGGAATCGTACAGCTCAGATCTGACTCCACGATGCTCAGCACAAGACCAAATAATGTGATCGGCGTCTTGGTAGCCTTGTCCACATTCACAGAGATTGCTATCCCCCAGCCTAACACGGAGCAAGTGTGCATTTAACGAATAGTGATTGGACATTAGGCGAGACATCAGACGTATGAAGTCTCTACCCACCTCCAACCCCTTGAACCAAAGATTCTTCGACACCTTAGGGATGATCGAGTATAGCCATCGTCTCAAACTCCCTTCACTCCATTTATTTTGCCAGCCTCTGGCGAGTGACTGTTGACGATAAATGAAGAAAAATTCGTTGTAGGCGATTTGGCGATCGTAAATATCGCCTTCCATAGCGCCCACCTTTGCAAGTGAGTCCGCCTTCTCATTGCCCGGAATCGAGCAATGAGATGGGACCCATGCAAAGGTGATGACAAAAGATCTTAAAGATAAAGCGCTTAGAAGCTCTCGTA